CCTATAGACCTTTGTCTTGGCTGCTGCATGGACGGTGCCATAGCGACCAGAATGTTTAGAGCTTCCGTTTACAGCAGGGGTATCAAACTCAATTCCTGGAGGGCCGAAGCCCTGCACAGACAAATTTTTCTCTGCATTGTTTACAGCTTGATGACTTGTAGGACCTCATGAAATAAAGTTTGTTGTTAGAAAATTACTCAGAGTGCTATAATTTATTGTATGTGAAGAAATTTATTGTATATGAAGATAATATTCATTCCCTCAACTCAATACAAAACAGTGATAAATGATAAAAAAAACAATAAATGTCTGAAAATATTGAAGTAACTGAACAATATCTATTTACAAATACAGTTAATATAAATAGAACAAAACTATTGCATTAAATCAAAATCTAGTATGTTTAATATTTAAAATAATAATGTAGTAATCATAGCGTAATATTTTATAGTAGAAAAATAGTTTGTTACAATTTATAAGCAGCTGGATCAGGTTAGTCGATCTTTCAAACAGCATTTGGCACTGTGAAGGTCTGGAAGTGCAGGTCTAGCCGTCTGAGCATGCAGGTCTGAGCATGCAGTTGGGTCTCCGGGCCTGCAGCTTCATAACGACAGCAGTATTAGTTCAAAGACGTTAAAAGCAAATAAAATAGATTATAACTATCGTTACAAAGCTGTTCAAATGTGACTGTTTACATGCATCAACTGCCGCTTGGACGTTCTTAGTATTCTCCTTGCGCATACACGCAAAGCATGATGGGTTACTTTGCGTTCTAAGAAAAAGGTCTATATAATAAAGGTGATAAACACCAATATTTATATATATTAAACAAAAAATTACCGAAAGAACTACAAATTTGGGGGCTTTTTGGGTTTTCAAAGTAACTTGAAAGCAAAAAAATTAGTAATCCGATTACTTTACGTTCAGTAGCTAGTAGTGCAACAGTTTTACTAGTAATTAGTAATAATTTGTAATATGTTAGGCTACTTTTTAAGTAACTTACCCAACACTGCTGATCAGCCACTAAAAAGGTGATGCTTATTAAATTTAGTTTGCTACTCGTGATAGAAAAGGTCGCTAATGTTTAAAATGCCCCTGTTTGACACTCATGCAAAACCTCAGCAGCCATTTCATGCTTCTCCCATATTTTTACACCATCGCATATCCTGAGATGACGCTTTCTCACTAGCTGAGTGTTGTGAGGAAGCTTTGCCACAGATTGTCAAGAGAGAGTTTTTGGAGGGGGGAGGGGGTGGTGTAGTGCGCTTTCACTGCCATGTGTAAATTGAGGGAATCTCACTTGTAGATGAGAGTCCCCGGGGTCCATCGCTAAAATCAGCTCATACAGTTATCCCGAGTAGTCAAGTCTCTGCCTGTATGGTGTTAAGGGAGTTAACAAAACATGCACCCATCTGCGAATTAGTAATCTAGATATAGAAATATTCCTATGAGTGTCATTCTGTTTTATATCCATGCTATCTGAAACCCCTTACTAACCTAATCATTACATTTTTGAGGGTTTTGCTCAACACTAAACACCGTGAGCGTTTTGCACGCTGCTTATGTGCCCTGTGCGCCTCGCGTTTTAACTGCCTGCTGCACCTCTCGTTCTTGTTTGCAATCGTCCTGGGACCAGCTGAATAAAGAATAGTTTCCCAAGTCGTACAAGTCCATAATGTGTATCAGTTAGTTGTAATACTACAAATCCTTGAAATGTTTAAAATAAAAACTAAAATTCAAATTTGCTTTAGCCTGGTGTTTTTTTTATTCAAAACTGTGGAAGAATACCGGAAGAAGCCGGAGCACCCGGAGGAAACCCACAACAACACGGGGAGAACATGTAAACTTCACACAGAAATGCCAACTGGTTTAACCGGGACTCAATACAGCGACCTTCTTGTTGTGAGGCCACCAAAAATGATTATGTCACTGGTAATAAAGTTAGTAATAATAGTATTACTTAAAACTACAGTTTACTATCTAGTAATTAAGTGATACTGCTAGAAACGATTACATTCGTGTATAAATTGTGGTTGTGAACATCCTTCATGCCAGAATATGCCTATAGATACAGTAGTACACTGAAGCTTTTATTTGAAAAGAGCAAAGGAAATCGAGTTTTCCATGATGTGACCCCTTTATATCTATATCACATGCAGTCTGCTTCCATTCATCTCTGTTCAAGTGAATTACCTCAGGCCAGATATTTCTCAAAGCAGGTCAGCAGCGATGTCTTCCTTATATTCCCTGAGTTAGTGGCTGTACTTAGCAATCTTCACACCTAGTAACCCACCTGACCTGACATTATTACTCCTCAACAGCACCTAGACGGCATTTTAAAGGATGGTTCACACACTTTATAAACACTTGTTGCTCTAAATTGTAATTTAGCTTCATCTACCTATCATATTTGTTCAAAACAACAATTATCTGCCCAATATTTGTTTGTGCTTTATTTTCAGCTTTCATTTGAACTTATTTTTATATATTTTTTTTTTTAGTTACATGCTAAATTCTACTGAAATCAGTTGTGACAGCTCATGATTTGCTAAACTTAATTTTGGCTTGTATGAACAATTGTAATGGGCGGCACTGTGGCTCAGTGGTTAGCACTGTCGCCTCACAGAAAGAAGGTCACAGCTGGGTTAATTAGCATTTCTGTGTGGACTTTGAATGTTCTTCAAGTGTTGGCGTGGGTTTCCCTCACAGTCCAAAGACTTCCGCTATAGGTGAATAGAATAAATCAAATTGTGTGTGTGTGTGTGTGTGTGTGCGTGCGTGCGTGCGTGCGTGCGTGCGTGCGTGCGTGCGTGCGTGCGTGCGTGCGTGCGTGCGTGTGTGTGTGTGTGTGTGGCTATGAATGAGTTTGTATGTGAGTTTCTCAGTACTAGGTTGCGGTTGAAAGATCATCTGCTGTGTAAAACATATGCCGGAATAGTTGTTGGTTCATTCCGAAATAGAGATTAAGCTGAAGCAAAACTGAATGAATTAATGAATAATTCTACTCTATGAACAGTTCACAACAGTGTGATTACATAAATTACTGTATATATTTTAGTAGAAAGTATGGTTATGATACATTTTTACTTGGGTTGCACTAATTTGGAATTTTTAACCGATAGAGGAATTACCACACATGACGTCACACGGGTTCTCGGTTGCAAAAAAAGACCAGTTGCAATAGAAAACATGTTGTGTTGTGTGGTAAAATGCCAAATTCGACCAACTCCAAAAATAGAAAACTTAAATTTTACTGTACACCCAACACAATCTCACGGCAATTCGTAACTTTTTCATTTAGTGGCTAATTCGTATGAATTCGTACAATCTAATTAGTACAATTTAGTACGATTTGCTTATTCCCCAATGACGGTTGGGGTTAGGGGTGGGGTCAGGTGCCACGCCTCCTTTTTAAAATCGTACGACTGAACTCGTACGAATTCGTACGAATTAGCCACTAAACTGGCAAAACGTAAAATACTTACGTTTTCTTGTGAGATCAGGCTGGTACACCACACTGCTTTAATGGCAACTGCAGATGTCTTTGGCTGAAAGGGAGCTATATGGAGTGACAACCTAATTAAAAATGCTGGACTCTGCATTTCTCATTTCATAGTAGGAAAGTTCATGCTATGCTGAATCATAAACATTACTCGTTTTTGATTGCAGCAATGATTTCAGCAAAAACAGTTAAATATGGTGAATTAAACTGCGGACACTGAATGATACGTAAAAGTGTAAGTTCACATACCCTGCCGTCCAGGTGTAGTTCGCTTTCAGAATGCAGTTGTTTTGCTTGTTGATGATTACGCAGGCCTTGTATACAGTTGCTCTGTCTTCTTTCCTTGTCTTTGGCTAGGCAGAACCTCAGTTTTTAGCACTACAAAATTTTGAATCTGGTAATCATGGAACATTTCTTGCACATGACCACACAGAACAAAATTTTTGGCATCCAAAGACTTGTAGGCCTTTAACTTCTCTCTTGTGCAATCACTTGGAGTTTCAATGAGATTAATTCAGTTGTAGGGGATCAACCTACGCAATAAGATCGATCAGGGATTTATTAGCTCATTTCAATGAACCGGATCTTGAAGATTCGAATCATTGATTTGACTCAATTAAGTCAGATTGAATCAAATTTTTATCTACCATTTGTCCCACAAATAGAAGACATCTGAAAACCTGTGAATGAAATGGCCTACAGCAACTCGAGAGCTGTGACACAACCAAGCCATTTGGGTAAAAAAAGTAGTGTCTCACAAACAGTACTTTGGGTTAGGTTATTTGAAGGCTGGCGGTTTAACGGGGATGCTGAGGAACTGTACTTTTCACTGCCTTCAATAAAGTCTTCTCCTTGTAAGAACGTTGGTCAGCTCACTTATTTTATGTATTAGAGTAATCTAATACATTGACGAGCCACCCAAGAACTGTAAAGCCAAATACAGCTAAATGTAACAATTTGGCGAGCCAGTCAGGAGCAGTCAAGCCAAATACAGCAAAATCGAATAATTTGGCGAGCCAGCCAGGAGTGATTAAGCCAAATACAGCAAAATCTAACAACAGAAAATAAAACTGTTACTTTGGCTCAGTACTGATAGCAACATAGCTGGCAAGCAACAGTTGCAGGTTTATGTTTGTATAGTAATTCAAAACAGCTCCAAACATGGTTTAACCCATCCGAATCAAGATCCAGAACTATGCTTCTTACAAAATGCCTTACATTCCACCATAAAATCAGTATGGTCAAATTGAAGGTGTCAAAAATAGTGTTAATGATGAAGGGATACTAATGAAGTGGACTATAAGCTTGCATTAACAATCCAAGCTGCTGTTGTGTGCAGCTAAACACTGTTAATTCTCTTTAAATGATAGTATTTCACACATTTAAATATCACTACACACTGCCATTACAGAGGATAAATCAGACATCAGCAGTCCAGCTCTGGTCAGGACAACATTTTTAGTTAAATGTTTTAATATGGAACTGATTGTATCTACAGGTGTGACGATGAAGCTCATGGACGAGGTTGCAGGGATTGTTGCTGCCCGTCATTGCAAGACCAACATTGTGACGGCATCTGTGGACGCCATTAACTTTCATCGCAAGATCAAGAAAGGTAATTAAAACACTTCCTCCAAGGCTTTCCACTCTTGTTTTTGATATAAGCATTGACTTTTTAGCAGCGTCTTACCCTGGAACCCCTAACTATCCAACCCTAGAAACATATGTAAACAATTCCACTTACATAGTCTCTCCACTACTGGTTTTTAAAGTTGCCTCAATGCCTCTCCAACATTTTATTTTATTTGACCAAACTATGTTTTAAGTCAGTGGTTCTCAAACTATTTTTACCAAGTACCACCTCAGAAAAAAAATTGTCACTCCATGTACCACCATAATCACCGGTATTAAAACAAAGTAGCATATCAGTCGGTTCTTGTCACGTGACTCGCCGTGCAGCATTCTGAAAAGACGTTTTCAACTCGGCACGCCTGGAATATACATGCACATTGTGCTGCAGTACTCATCTTGCTAATCAGTTGGTTAAATTTTGGCACTCAAGTGACTGAGATGTAACAAGAGAAATTGGTCATATTTCAAAATAAAAGTTTTTTTTCCAATAAATGATCGTTCAGACTCAGATTATAAATAAAACGGAAATAATTAATGATTTTCTATGCGACCTGGTACCAATTGACCTATAAACCGGTGACGGTCTGTGTCCCGAGGGTTTGAGACAACTGCTCAAGCAAGTATCTACTCTCCAAGCACCACGCACCTCTTTCTCTAGTTCTGCGCCAATTGAATTGATTTTTTAGCAGCTGATTATGCGATGCACGAAAGTAAACATTTTATGCACAGCAGTTTGATTGTAGGCTTACAGCCAATGCTGATCACATTGGTGCTATTGTGCAAATTAAATTCATTACTCAGTGATTCCTCCACGTACCACTAGACGTTAGCCCGCGTACCACTAGTGGTACACGTACCACAGTTTGAGAACCACTGTTTTAAATGATTATACAACACAAACATCCATTAGCTAACTCCTGCTTATAGCCCAGTAAACAATCTTAGCACCCTTACAAGTGAAACAGTCAGCCACATGGCCATACTCTTTACAGTAATCCTACCACTTCTGAATGGAAATTTGCATTTGCCTTTTGCCATTTCCTCTCACCACAAGAGTGCCAGTCTGTGCCTGTAGAGCTGGCAAAGTGTTTGTGATGGACACTGTCCAACCCAAGGCTTCTAACAACCTTCAACACCAGAGAAGGAAACAGTAAGATAGCTGCACAAGTAGATTCCTGATACCCAGAAACTGAGCCAGAACTAAGACCATAAGGAATTGACTGACATCATCCTCTCCTTGGCCCACATCCTCATGAGCCTGAGCCAGAAGGCAAAAAGACTAATGCTGTGAGCCACATAACTCCAAGAGGAACTGACCGCTCTCAAATAGACCAGCAAGAAAGGCCAATGAACAGACAGCAAGGGCCAGATTTGCTAAAACAGGGACAAGAGATATTAAGAGAGAAGAAAATAGATATTCATGATGTCAAAGTTAACCCACTTCATTAAAAATAGTTGTTTAATAAAAGCAGCTAGTAAAAAAAAGCAGTGATTTCAGTGGTAGAAAACTGTAAAATGCGTCAGTAAACATCCATAACCTGGATTACAGTAAGTTTCCTTTATATATCATCACCTTAGAATTATAAGGTTCTATCTGCGTTCTCAATGATTTTGAGATATTGAGCTGTAAAGTTGTTGCATTCCATAGCAAACAGTATGTGTGTAACATTTTTTTTTTTTTAATAAAAAGTCTTAAAATGTGAACAACTCAAAAAAACATCCCATAATGTAAATAAGTTGTCATTTAATAAGATTATGTCAATAACTCAATTTTGACAAAAATGTCAGATAGAACCTTATAATTCTAAGGTGACGATATGGGAAATAACCGCAATTCACTTTCCCAGAATATCATGCATGACACTTTACTTTTTTGTGCTTTTTTTGTTGTTGTTGTTGAAATTGTAATGGTTCCATTTAGTTTTTCTCTTGAGTTATAAACAGAGATGTATTAAGTACTAGAGACCCAGACTTAAGTAAAAGTACAAGTACTTTATCAAAAAAGTGACTTTAGTAGAAGTTGAAGTGCTCTTTAAGCACCATACTTAAGTGAAAGTTCTAAAGTATTCAACATTTTTTGTACTTAAGTAGTTTATTTCAAAATTTACTACTCAAATACTGAAAGTAAAAGTACAAGTATTGTGTAATGTAGCTATTAAAGAAAGCAGTCGAAAGACATATTGTTTTATTTTAAATATCTTTTTTGGGGCACTTGATTAAGCAGAACGAAAAGAAACATGGCTTACAATACTGTCTTCTCTCGCGCTTGAACCACAGATCTGACAGATTAAAACAGCTTTAACACACACCTTCCACTCAAAACGCTATTGAAACCCATTTTCAGATCGCAAATTACCAGTTGTGAATGCTGTAAATGGAAGTTCTAAACATTCTACCGGAAGACGCTGGTCGCTATGGTCCCTCCATGCAGCAGTTACGAAAAAAAGTCTATAATTGTAACAAGCAGGGGTGTGAATCTACACTGGTCTCACGGTTTGGTTCGGTTACATATATCTTGCCATCGATTCGGTTCAATTCGATATCTCGGTGCATTGACGATGCTTTCCATACATAATTAGATTTTTTTCTTCACAACACAAGAACTTTTTTAAATAAAATCTATAAATATATTTATATTTATTTATTATTATAAGACAATTTTGTTCTTTAATACAGCAGTAAGATATATGAACTGAACTCTTAATTTGACCTGCTCAAAGAAAACACTCTTTCTAAAATGAACCAAACAAAACTCCAATACATGCACAGAAGACAGCATGAGCATTTATAGCCAATAAACTCATGTAAATATTATCCCCCTTGATTTTTGAGCGCTGACAGGCGAGGTCTTACACCCCTATGACTGGTCATTGTCTTCACCTGCTCAACAGAACAGGGCTGCGTTTGGCTTTCGAAATGAAATCGCTGTTCACATCACAGGTAATACATAATAGACACAGTGGAGAAAACTCGCACCTCAGGCACGCTCATGTCTGGATCCACAAGTATTGCTTTAACATCCAAAAGGAGAGAAAAAGTTATCTCACAAACGCCAGCGGGTCAAATGTCCATAGGGAAGAGAGGTAAAGATGGAGTTTTACAGCATTTCTCTGTAGTAGTGAAATAGCGGTTCGTGTGCTGTGCCCCCTTCATTGTAGTAAGAGTGTTATTTACTAGAGGTGTGTACCTACAGTATACTGGTCTCACGGTTCGGTTCGGTTACGATTATCATGCCTTCGATTCGGTTCAATTCGATATTTCGGTGCATCACGGTGCATTGACGATGCTTTCCATATACAGTGTTATATTGTAGAGGAGAGGCTATAACAAGCTGTCTGTATAAACACACAGAGACACAGCACCACACTGTCTCATTCAAACACAAACATAGACAGCACCAAAGAAACAAACACACACACACACACGCACACACACTTAAGCTCTCGCAACAGGGAGAGCTCGCGAAGAGCGGAGCAGAAAAACAAAAAACGAAAAAAATAAGCACTTTTCCGACGGTCCCTTGCTGAGAGCTTCTCTCAGCCCGAGCTATCCTGGCTAAACACATATTGCGAGGGCTTAAACGGAGCAGTGCTCGTAGTGTGGAGTGTGGCGCCCTCCTGGATATACAGCGCCCTTAGCATTTGCCTATGGTGCCTATGCCACGGACCGGCCCTGAGTTGGCTGAGTGTTGTAAATACTCGCGCTCACCTCCCTCGCGACAGAGCGCATAGGAGATAAATGACGTCAGTACATAATAACCGGTTATGATTATTACTGAACCGATACCGAATTGTCCGCGTCTGCATCACGTTGCACCAAAGAATCAATTAATTTTGACACCCCTATTATTTACTCACCCTCGCCTCCTTCACCATAGTATTGCGGCATCGCGCATAGGAGATAAATGATGTCAGTGCGTAATAACCGGTTATGATCTATTACTGAACCGATATCGATAATTTTGACACCCCTAGAAACGAGTAACGATGCAGCACGTAAAAAGTCTGCCGGAGTAAAAGTATTAACTCATCAAAAATATGTACTGAAATAAAAGTGGAAGTAGGAGAAAAAACAATACTCCAGTAGAGTACAGATACAGCCTTTTAGTACTTAAGTACAGTAGTGAAGTAGTACTACTTCATTACTATACATCTCTGGATATATCCATACCTATTTAGCAACTAATGTTGATAAATAATGTTCATTGCTTTAATTTTATGTGTGTTACCATGATGGTGTATCATAGCTAGGGCCAGACGGAATCTGCGGACGTTTTTTGCTATTTCTGCGGAGAATTTTGGTAAAAATCTGCGGATTTCTGCAAAATTATTTTGGGAATATCCAGCGGAGTATCATAACTTACACTTTAATATATTAAATGAAAAATAATAAATTACTGAATAAAAACTGAATAAATTCTGATGTACACATTTACTCAAGTAAATAAACAGAATTTATAATGGGCTAAAAAACTGCAGAAATCTGCGGAATTCTGCGGAAAATCTGCGGAATTTTGCGCGCAGATTCTGTGTGGGCCTAATTATAGCTTATGGGAAAAGTTGTTTGTGGTTCATCATGTTAGTTTTCTCATCCCCATATGGTTGTGTTTTAGTCTGTATTAAAATGTTATGACGTGTAGAAGTTAGTACTACAACATTTTTATGAAAAAAGGAAACACCTAAATTTACCATAACAATTTTATTTACATTCCTACTGTATTTTAAATGATTGAATTCCCACAACCATAGCTGCCTATTCCTGACTGAATTAATGAATTACACTGTTTCTTAAATATCTACAAACATATTATGGTATTTTTATGTTTTAGAGAGCCAAAACGTACATACAGCATCTTAAAGGATGAACAGAGCCTTAAGGTTTACTGTTCTTTCATAATGAAAACTGTGCAAAGATGAATTATTCATTCTATTTAATTATGCCCATTACTTTCTCAATTCATTCATTACTTGTCTAACTACTCAG